GTAGTTGGACAATTGTGGTAATGGTATTATGGAATAGAGTTGGGATTAAATCAGTTATATACTTCTTTCCACTCCCTTTTGGACCAAGCACAAGGAGATCTTTGTCTTATATATGTGTGCACATGTTTTCTTGTTTATATTGTTCATTCATTAATTAATTCAATAAGTCAAAGAAATATAATTGGGGAAAAAATACACACTGTATATTTTACCTATTTTTTCTATGCATCATTGTGCGAGGGTTGTTTCTTATGGAAATGTATTGTTTTTGTCCAAACACTGAGGCTGCCATGGGACATGTGCCAAATACTCTGGACCAGACACTGACTCGTCTCAATCTCTGATTTGATTTGAGAATGTGCGGAGAAGATATTCCATTCAATAAAGAAAATTCTCCCTGGGAACATTGGAGTGGGGAAATGTCTACTCCAGTTGTTTTTTTTTAGCCTTTCACTCTTGGGGAGTCAATTATTTATCCTGGAACGGGAAAATCGCAAAGGGGGGAGGAAGCACAATTGAAATGGAGATGGCACAGTGTGAGATTTACACAAACGCCCACACACATCTCAATATATCCACACAACACAAGTATTTATGGAGAATAAGGAAATATGCACTTTCTTTTGCACAATTCACCCATTATGATGAAATCCAAGTCTTTATACAGTATATTACGTTTTACTTATCACCATACGTTTGCACAGACTGCAAGTTTAAACACAACCATTCAATAGAGACATTTTGAAGGATGGGTCTTTCCACAGTGTTAAATTGGGTAAAACGCAGGTAATTGGCACATTTTGAGAAGACCCAAAAAGCAAAGATAATTGATCGTATTGTGTGATAAAAAAATGTATTTAATGTTGCTTTCACTACACACTGTGAAAATCATGTCAAAATTGGCTTGAATTAGGCTACTTGAGAACCTTTTGATCTTGGGTTTGGGCTTTTTGGTCTTAATACAAGGTTTTATCACTTGGAATGAGGGAAAAAACGCTATTGAACTTGAATTCACACTCTTGGTTTACAAAAGTCAAAATAGTTAAAAAATAGAAAACACTTCATTCAAACTTATCACTAACATGTAATAATATTTTTCTTAATAATATTTTGGTTGGTTCTATATGACTGTGTGGTTTGGCGACATCACAGCCAAAGAGAGGAGAGCTTTAAACAAAGTGGACACTCATCAAAAAGTTTGTGACCTGTAAGACTCGAGGTGTATTATTGTATTGTGGTCTTCAGTGCATTGTGTTTCTATTCCAATTTTTTAAATCTTTTTTTATATGCAAATTAAAGTAAATAAGTAAGTAATGTTTATTTATATAGCGCATTTTACAGACCAAGGTCACCCAAAGCGCTCTACAATGTTCAGAGTTCAGATATTGTTCCAATCATTCCACACACGGTGATGACAGAAGGGAGTCGCCGAACACACTGGTGCATCAGCCCCCAATCAACACCATCCATTCACTCTCTCATTCACATTCATACCTATTGTGCATGTTTTTAGTGGTAGGGGAAACCGGAGCACCCGGAGGAAACCTACGCAGACACGGGGAGAACATGCAAACTCCACTCAGAAAGGCCCTGTTCCGACCATGATTCGAACCCAGGACCTTCTTGCTGAGAAGCGAGAGTGCTATCCACTCAACCATTGTGCCGCCCAGATAACAAACCATTCAATCTCTCAAATGAATTTCCAGCATCCATTACTTAGTTATTATCATGATTTACAGACAGTAGAACAATGTCACCCTTCAAATTATCTCCTGGTCTCATTTATGTTCCGTCTTGTTCCATCCATAGACTGTAGATGGATACAATACCCATATGATTTTATCTCACTAACAATTCATAATCACCATGTATTGTAATGTAATATAAACGGATAATTCCATGTGTGGCTTAATAGCTCGTAATAAAATATAAGCTCAAGTGGCCCTTTAAATGTGTGAGTCGAGTTGTTAATACCATGGGAGAGAAACACACTCGTCAGGAAGATGAGAGCCGCTGGACTGGACAAGGGTCCGTGGCTTTTCAGCATTTCCCACGATTAATACCCCTTCACTCTGGGGCCATGAGCTGTGGAATCGTGGGTAATGCAGTACTATTAGGAAGAAGCGCCATCCTTGCATTTGGAGTCTACAAGTCTACTGCCTCAAAGATGATAGAAATTGGGAGTAAGCAGAGGATTGTGGCAGAAGTATCACTGTTGTTATTTCCCACTTGTCAAATCCATCTGAAGTTTGCAAATGTACAAAATGAAGATAGAAAGTGAAGATAGAAAGTCATAAAGCTGTAACAAGTTAATTAATTATTGCAACAAATTAATTATTTAATTAATTTAGTAATCAATGTTTTTTTAACCAAAACTGGACCAAAACCAAACTACAAATACTTAAGAATCTTTATAAAGTATGTCTAATCAAACAACCAAATATGTTACATCTAGTTATATGAAATTGTTTTTAGAGGGGCATCGGCCAAGCTTTCTTTTGGTCAAATTGATAAAAATCGCCTTTTTCTACGGATTTAAACAACTAATCCATCCATCCATCCATCCATTTTCTACCCTTTAATCCATTTCTGGGTCAGGGGGGTGGCAATCAGAGATGCCACCCAAGTCTCATAGCACCAGCCCCTCACTGACCCTCTGCAGGTGGTGAGTCCACAGGAGGACGGCTGCTCTCTGAGTGTGAGCATAGCCTTGATCTTTCAGTGGGGACAACTAATCCATTATCAATAATAATCCTTGACTCCAGCCCTACACCGTGAACTGGAAAGGTACTGAACTTAATAATTTCTGCAAATAATTTGTATTCTTTTTCTGTATGATATTAGTTTATTTTATAGTATAGTATACTTGAAGTATATATATTCCTCCTGGCATGGGTCTGTATACGCAGCACCTCTGACCTTATATAGGCCCATGCAACAAGTCTTTAATCCTGGATGACTTTAACCTTCAGAAAATCCCACACTTTTGGATGTTGATTTCCCATGGCTCAGCGCAATGCCCACAAATGCCCACAATGTTAAGCTGTCTTCTATGACTTTCCCTTTAAATGTTACATCAGGCAGAATTTATCTAAACGAGCAAAAGCCAAACACACACACACAGCAGAATGCGCTCATGACCCCATGGCCACACTGACTCAGGGGATAGGCCGCATTTTACAGTCTGATGAGTTTTGAGTTAAAATGATCTGAATGCAAAGTCTTTTCATGTAGCTCAACCACAAAGGCAGCTTGGTCACTTAAAAACTTAATACAATTACCCATATTTCCCAGTTAGAAAGTTTGTGGTCAAAAGGATATAGTAGCTTCTTTACTTTATTGAACTGATTGGGGAAACCAAAAACAATGGATTATTTTTAGTAGTGAAAACCTTGTTAGGCAATATTACTATACATAAAATGCATACCTATTGAGCTTCCTGTTTGGAATCCATCCTAAGGAAGACAAAAAACATGGCAGGGTTTAAAGCAGCTTGGCCCTACTTAGTGTGAGCTGACGGGCTTGTCGTCTTGAAGGCCTGAATGATTTATTAAAGTGAGGAGTGGCAAAGAGGAGGGCGGCCAGGCGAGCTCTGATTAACTAGGCGAGCAAGCAAGGACAAGCACTCCTCTATTATTCATTATTCCACAGCAGCGGAAAGGGAGACGGCCACAATGACAGACAGGAAAATATACTCATAAATATGGAGGAATATTGCTGATTGTTTTGCCGATGTTTGTTTTCGGCACCAAAACAGTAAGTGCACAGGTTTCTGAAGAATGATCCTGTAGCAGCACAAGGGCCAAGACACAGTAGAAGAGGAGAACTCTGTAAAAATAGATGTGATGCTATAATAATAATAATACATACAGTGTGCGCATGTGTATATAGACACACACAGAGACACACAAATCTCTGCAGCAAGGGATATGTCAAAAAACTATCTCTGCAGCATAAACTGCTTTCTATACCCTCAAGTGGGGGTTAGGACCAGTTGGGTGTAGCAATATAAATAACATTTAAAGCCATATTTAATAGTTTCTTTGCTGTTTCTATTTGTAAATTAGTTTAAGATATCTACAAAACTAATAATAATATTAAAGTCATGAATATGATTCTCCACTTAAAATGTTTACCACTGTCAACTTTGTTTTACTATGGGGGTTCCTGGGGGGGTGCATGGCGATTTTTAGGGTGTCAGCCCTCCACTGTAAGCCATAATGAACACAAGAGCACAAGCATTCATCTTCATCTTATGGGCTCTAACACATCAAAAGACTTCATTCAAACAATACTAACCAAAGTATTGTTCTAATAATACACTTGTGCTTTGAGCTAAAACGTAGATGAGGAAAGAAGTTGTAGAAAAAAAGAGAGACCTTCAAAGAACTATGACATTTTAATAGATGATACAGCATTACAAAGAGCAGTCTTTTACACAAAGGAAGGCTTTCTTTAGGTGCATAGTGACATAATCAATGTACGGTGCCGTCTGTTGGACAGTAATGGACATTACACTTTAAAAAAAACAAATCACAAGTTAGTGCCTTTACTTAAAAAAAACAATACAAAAGGTGCAAAGGTGTATCATGAAAGTAGTTCAGTTTCCTATGGCTCACTTTACAAGCAGGAAACTTAAGTTAGCACATTTTCAAATGTAATATTTATAATTCACTATGTACATTCCTCATTCATAGATACCTACACACACGTGGAGCTGGTCAAGACTTTAAGGTATACTTTAGGGACAAATTTCACTTTCCACTTTCCCTCACTTTGTTTTTTTTCTGGTTTTTCCAGTAACAGTGTCGACACACACACACCGTGATGACGCATCAAGAAAAATTGTCTTGTCGTATTACCAAAACTTGTTTTGATAATGCTTCTAGCTGTAACGATAGACAACTAATCTGACAAACAACAGAATTTTTACAGCAGATCTTGTTCGTATTGGCATCAGTTTGGGGACTTCAGACCTGTGTGGTTGTGGTCCTGGCAGATTACCCCAGCAGCATAGGTTCAATTCCTCTCTAGGCACAATACATAATAATCATAAACAGCCAGATTTCATGATAGAGTTATGCATAATAACTCTCCAATACCTCATAACAGTCTATACCAAAAAGCTCCCGCAGCTTTTCAACATATAGTTTTCGGTCGCACCTTTGGAAATAACTACAAAAAAAGAGTAACATTTAATAAACTTTCACATAATTCAAATTGTCATTTTTGCAGCTTACCCCAAAGTAGTTGTTTGGCACAAATCCTTCTCGCCCACATAGAGAGGCCCACCACCAGTCAGAGCCTTCTTGTTTCTGTAGGATTGTAACCATATCTCCATCCTTAAAGCTCAACTCATCAGGAGCTTGGGCTGGGTAACTCCAAAGAGCATATAAGACACCACTGTTGTCCACGCCCATGGCCTCCTCCACTCCTGCAAATAAGACAGTTACTTCAATCTCATTATATTTTGTTTTAAATAGTTTTGACAATTGGTAAAATACTAAATAATGGTAGTTTTTCACATTGGTGTAATTAAGGCACAATTATAATAGTCCACTGACTACTTTCTGCCGGTTTAATAAAGGTGAATGTTGAGCAATAGTTGTGCAAAAATAAACATGTTGCAACATGCTTGGATTGTAGGAGATTCACAAACTTCAAACACATTTTTAAAACATTGTTGAACTCACCTCTCAGGAAAACTTCACACTCCTCAAATCCAACTGCAAACGGATCACACTTTTGTGAAGCAGTTGCGCCATCACTCTCTGTTATGGCCATAACAGCTGCTCCACTTCTCACCAAAAATTCACTAAGATTCCTGTCGTTACATGAAGCTGCACAATGCAGTGGTGTCCTATGAGCAACAAATGCAATACATGACACATTTGCAATAAATGTCACATTTCTCCTTAATGAAGATGAGGATGTTTAAAAGAATATTTACCATCCATGGCTGTCAGGGGCACTAACATTTGCTCCAAGACGAACCAAGAAGTCCACAACCTTGTAGTGACCTCCACAGATAGCATTGTGAAGTGCAGTAATACCTTCATCATTTGGTTGGCTGGGATCATTCATCTTCAGAACAAGAAAAAAGGTTCGTATTAAGTTAAACTAGAAACGGTACAATGGCTGAAGTGGCTGCAAAAACAGAATGTGTTGAAAGGTGCTGTATCTGTGGTAATGAATTGTTAGTGTGGTCAGGTGTTGTAGTGGTTCTATGTAAGTCAATGGGTGAAAAGTGCTTGTACTTTTGTGAATACTTCAAAAAGTACAAAAGGTGGGAGTGTGAAAAGTAATAGCAATGAGACAATGAAGACAGTTGTAACAAAGAAGAAAAGTGCCAAAATCTGGCGGAAGCTAGAATAAACACTAGGAGAGCATATAGTGGCATAGTCTATGCATGTGTTAGTCTATGCAGCCACTCAATAAGTATAAAGTTGATCTATGCACAGACTTCCTGCATGGCCCGCTGCACTGTGTCCAGTTCACCCACGAGTGCCCCATCCAGGGCCAAGACCAAGGGGCTCAGACGGGCTCGCCTCCCAGTCGACTTGCGCTCTCTTGGCTTACGCAGTATTGAATGATAACTCTGCACAAATGAGTGGTTTGAACAAAAAGGTAATGCAAATGAAAAAAGTCTAATTGAGTCATCAGGGTTATACCTTGTATCCATGCGGTGGTGCATTGGCTGTCGGTATAGAGGGAGGGAGGGCGCCTTCTTCTCCATCAGAGGAGCTACTGTTCTCACTACTTGGCTCCCCTTTAGAACGCTGTTCCTTTTTGCGGAAGAGCTTGTTAATGAGATGCTTGTATTGGTTGGGCTCATAGTGGGACGCTTGCTTCAAAGGGCGGGAGTGGTCTACGGACCCTCTTCTTTTCAGAGCACGAGGGATCTCCGCACGAATGGCCAGCAGTTCTTCCAGGTTTGGCCTCTCTTGCACCTGGGCCTCAGGGGCCACCACCGGCTGCAGTCGGGTCGGGCTGAGAGGGCGGGGGGCATCACTGACGGGCTCGAGTATGGAATTTTCATCAATTACATTTATGTGGCGAGTCATATCAATACGTTCCAACTCTGCATCCACATCAGAAGGATTCAATGCTGACAAGACACAAACACATAAGATATGATGATTGTCGAATTTAAGTTTCAGTGTTATTACAATACAAGCTTTGGAGTTTCATAAATCCTGCATACCATCACTGTACACAGGTGGCTGTCTAAGCTCAGGGGGCCTTTGTGGAGACTGCTGTGTAGGTGGGAAAAAGTACTCTCTTGGGAGGGGCATGGCAGGCTGATAGGTGGACAGGTGGGGGTTCTGCAGACGCATGATGACAGACAGAGGAATGGGTCGACGCTGGCGTGGCTGGGCTGAAGAGGGAGGAATGGAGATGCGCGAGATGATAGGCTGAGGGTGGTACGATGAATACGCCTGTGAAGAAGCATCCGGAGGAACAGCTATACGTGCAGCGCGGGGAAGGGAGCTATACGACTGATGAGGTGGAGAGCGAGACTCCTACAACAGAATAACCGACCAAGGAGGTTATAGAATACAATGTGTTTATGTGTGATTTATAATTCACATCCCATCCTCACCTTTTTGGGACTTGGATGAAGTGGCCCATCCAAGTTTGATTCCATCCAGCTGCCACTTTGCACCGAAGGCCGCAGCCACTCCGTTTCTGGAGAGCAACGTTATTTTTAACACATATTTTTGCAACAACATACAAATCAACTGTAGTAAAATGAACTAACTGTCGTAGGAATGGTGAGGTTTTCTATCATAGGACATGTCAAGGTCTGTCTCACTCCAGCTTCCGGGAATTTTGGGCCGTACATTTTCTTCTGCACGAAACGTGTGAAATTGCAGAAGTGACAAAACTAAGGTGAAATATATTTGATATTATACCTGCTGGTCTGAAGTTCCGGGGTAATGTGCTGGATATAGGGTGATGGAACGTCAGCGGTGAGGGGCTTTTGTCTGGTCTCGGAGATCTTCGTCCCATCTGACTATTGTCGTAGGGGTTGAGCATACTGGAGCGCGAACCGGTGCGCGGGGATGAAGGAATAGCTGAAGGAATGGGTGGACTGCTTCTCCCCATATAACTGGTTGAAACGCGTGGATTCCTGACAGGGGAATTTCTTCTCTGGCTTGTTGGAGACTGCTTGGGGCTGTCTACTCTGTAAGAAAAACTCTCAGATCCGGAATGTGATGCCCGCTGTATTTTTGGTGAAAAACCAGGAGATGGAGGACGGTTTTTTGTGTCTGATATTATAGAGTCCAGAGAAGGATTATTGGATGGGCTTGTGTAAAATGGTTTGCTGATGTAGCCGTCATTGCTGCTGCTACTTGACCCAGTAGATGTGATGGATGTGCGGCTGGGTTGTGGCCTCTCCTGGTGCTCTGTAAATGTGGTCTGTGGAAGACATTATAAAAGTTTATCTCATCTTAAATACCAAACATGTCCCATAGGATTTGCATTAGAAATTAATTAAGAAATCAAAAATGGAAGCTGGGGTACCAAGATTTTATCTTTCCTTTATTTTTGTCTTAACAGAAAGAGTAAAATGTACAGAACAGACAACACCAGGCTGTCTTTATCTAATTAGAAAACATGCATACTTTTTTAACAGTAAAGTTAGACCGATGTTTATTCTATTTTTGTTGGTTTAATAGGTAGGTACCCCAGCTTTAGTGTGAGATCCATGTTATGAAGAACAACAAGTCATAACCAATGAGCATGAGTACCTGTGTTGTGTCATTGCCGTTGGACGCTTCTTTGAGCAAAGAATTAAACTCTTTAGATAATTCATCAGCTGTGGCCAGTGATGCATTCAGGTCATCATTTATGGACCGGACTGTAGATCAATCATAATAACATTAATATGACATCGAGTCCACAAAACAAAAAGCTGTTAAAAGTTGAACACAGACTCACATAGCATGCTGCTACCATAGCTGGCCTGTGAGGTCATGGTGGCGGAATTCAGCTCCTGAAATTGAAAAACGGCATGCAGTTACAATCCTCCTTAGACTAACATGTGAAATCATTGCACAAACAGCCAGCTGACCTCTGCCCTCAGCTTCCTCTCATTCACCATCACTACTGCAAGGTTTTAATCATTGATCTCTGCTCCATAATAGGACATGTTTAAACCATGCTCTAGGCCCATTTTTAACTTCATTACATACTGAATACATGTTTAAACGTGCACCAAGTATGCCGCTGACAGCAGATTTTACACTCTACTGTCTATCTACTCTGTCTGTTCCCACTTCATATGAACAGAACAGCAGTTAGTGGATTAGTCAGAGAGCAGAGGGTGTCTGGGTTTGCAGGTGTTTCATGGTGACATCACAGTAATCTGTTCAAAAGCCTCAGACAATTGCACACACACAACTCATCAAGAAGATTATACTCTACTAACTATCTAGACAGCTCTGAGTGCCAACCAACCCATCATTAGTCTAATAGTATTCTGTCTATTAAAAACGTGATTGCAAATCTGAAAACTTAAACCAAAGGTGACCTAGTAACTTTTGTAGCAGATTAAAAAAGATAGAGAGGCACACCCTAGAGTTGAAAACCAGGCCTTTGACGAGAAACATAGTGCAAACAAAATGTGCAAACAAACAGGTAGCATACAATACCAAGGCGTGAAAAGCAACTGGTATTTAACAAGTCGATTATTAAAATATCAGATAAACGCTGACAACGTATTACAGAGTAGTTGTTGTGAACATTCAAATTGGTCGGTGGATTACATAAATCCTTTGAGAACAAGACAGGTCGATAATAACAGTCGACATTGCAGACCCACATTCCACCGCACCTCTAATGGCATTTAGTCTGAGGGCCTTATCTCTATCAAACTGTGGAGGACAAAACACTTTCACTGGAGTCACAGCGGTGAACCCTGAGTCTGCCCAAATATCTGCTTCCATTCGGCACTTGCCACAAACTTATCACAACACATATATACAATATATTAATTACAGTTACAGTATTATACCGGAGTGAATTTAATGTGAGGCCCCTTAGTCACATGCCATTCCAAATACACCCATGCCCACTGTCCTTGTTTTTGGACATCCCATACAGCTGTGCCATTCTAGCTTACATCCATCCTATACTTATACTAACGTAAAACAATATTGATTTAAAACATTTGCCATTGAAACAAAAAAGAATAATTAAAGAGCCATTTCATGCCACAGTTGTTGTCAATATGTTTTATGACTTTGTATAAATGCAGTAAAAGCCTGTTCTTAGAAAAATAGTTTAAACAAAAGAGAAATTGTAAATTGCAAACCAAATTCCATAAAGTTCTAACGTTTGATTCTCACCCTTTACCCTGTTTCACATTGTTTGTCCCTCCTCCATATCCTTCCTCCACATTTTTCAACATTGTAACCTAGCAAGGAACTTGGCTCAGACTGAAAGGAAAGCAGTTCTTTTGAACTGACCACTGTGTTACTCAAGTTAAAACAAACATGAACAACCTTGTAAGTTAACATTTACTTGTAATAATCAAGCTGTTTACATGAGCACATTACAACAAGAGAGGGGGTCTTACTCGATCTCAGGCTTGCATTCACAAATAAAGCACATCTATATCTACATGTGATGTTTAACTTGCACTTCCACTGTCAAATAATGAATAAATACATTATAAATGGTACAGGCCTGTAGTGTTTTTAATTGACGCATTAGCATTAACGTGTAAATGGGATGAAACAGGTGGGGATCCTACATGTTACATTAGTTTCTGTGCGCCTTTAAATTACATTTCCAAGAACTCGTATTTCTTAATAATAATAATTGGATTTCACTTGGGGCCATGGTAGGCAGTTGGAACTTTGTGTTCTGGATGTTCACGAATGTACGCGACAAAGGCATCTCACAGTGCCACACAACATTACAGTCATTTTAACAAGTTGAACAACTCTTCTAATGATGGCTCCGTCTCAGCAATGTGGATGCCTATTGAATGTGCAACAAGTGCATGGGAGGGACATATTTCATTGTTGATAAGTATATTTGAAGCAACAACAGGTTGCAGCAAGCTGTCGGCCTGATATCTGGATCTGCAGACAAGATTTGCATACTGGATGAGAACAGTCTGACATGGCGAAAGGTTGGATTGCCTTTGAAAAAGCAAAAAGTAAATTAAATGTTTCGTAACCAGAAAGCATTATTTCCTTAAACCCATTTGCTAAAATTAGTAAATAACACTTTCCCCACATAGTCCAGCTTTAATCTTTAATTTGTGGTTGTGTTTTGGAGAAGCTGTTCCTTGCCAGCAGTGGCATAGCATCTGACATCCATTAAGGAAAGAGCTCCTCCTCGCAAACCAAATGCTCCAAAGGGGGGGGGGGGGGGGGGGAACATTTTCCGTAAGAGACCATATAATGACACACTTCGTCAATAAGGTGCTCTTTAGATCTAAATAGGCCAGTCGTACCTTCTTCTACACGTCTTCTATTTAGTATGTAATATAGCGTAAACACTCAAAAATCTTACCTTTTACTTTCCCTATTTTCTCTTGAGAAGTGTTGAACGCCACTGAAGTTCTGAATGGTCTTTCTGAAGTTTGTTCGTCTCTTGCGCAGTCATTGCTCCACTGCCTTCAGACTGGAGTCCTGCCCCCATCGTTTAGTCACCGCTGCAACCCGAGCCTTTAAAGGACAACTCACCCTCAAATCCACTTTTTTTTGCTGATAAACGGTATAAATGAGTGTCCAATAGTGTTGTCTACATATCCTGGTCATAATCTTGTCACTTTGATGCAAATTAGTTGAAAGTTAGACTTTCTGCCTAAAACCGTCTGTGAGGCGCCATCTGCTGGCGACCTGTATTACTACATTTGAATTTTGAATCTGGCGCCAACACTGGCGCGGCATCAAGACCTGACGTCTGCAAGTTGGACCTGACGTCAGCAGCCCCCCGCCCAGAGCAATGTAAACGGCCCAGTCTCGTTCACGCCCCCTTTAGTCCTCCAGGCTACGCCCATTTAGAGGAAGATTTGAACAGGAAATGTGAGTAACGTAAGCTCCGAGGAGCGGGGGTGAGAACCACTTTAAAGGCGCTCCTCAGCTGGACGGCCACATCCTCCGAGCTCATGCACCCAAATACAGATTTAAATTCAAGACAATTAAATTCACTGAATGAAAAGCCAAACGTATTCTCAGTGTTTTCAAGGAATAAGGGCTCCCTCCAGGAAAATGCATTGATGGGCTCATAAACTGGCTACACGCGTTGGGCACTTAGTAATAAATACATTATTGTGTGTGTGCGTGTTTTTTTTTAAAGTTATAAATGTGTGACCTATATTTAAACTGAGGAAAGCGCGGATTGAGATTACAGAACCTAATTTCGGCTAACACGGGCGACATTTCAGTGTTACTAGAGAGCACAAAAAATATGATTATCCCAATCACACGTGTGCATATAAGAACCTCCCTGTAAGGATTTTCAGTAATGTAATTAATCAAAGAGAATATACAATCTATAAATTTGAAATAAAATACAATCAATCAATCAATTGTATGCATCTATTATTATTATTGTATTATTGTTATTACTTAATATGGACCTGCTGTAATGATGATTATTATTGTATGTATCAATTATGTATGTATTTATTATTTATTAATCAGTACGTGATGGCGTAGCCTGTGCGTGCTCCGTCCCACACTGGAGCGTTTCCGCCAAGATGGTGGTCGGTGCTTTTCCTCTCGCAAAGCTCTTGTACCTCGGCGTGAGGCAGATGAGCAAGCCTGTAGCGAACAGGATCAAAGCCGGAGCGCGGAGAAGTGAATTCTTTAAAAACTACGTCTGCCTTCCGCCCGCTCAACGTAAGTAATCCAACAATTTAAAACGTGAATGACCGCTGGCCTACTGTCACGATTGTCGGAAGGAGCATTTTCAACCAATCAGACTTCAGTCTAACAGCGCATTGTCCAATCAAGATCCATTTGAAGGCTCGGAGGCGGGACCCGGCTGTCATTGTTCAAGGAGGATCTATTTCTACATTCTTACTTAATATATGTCCAGTAATGACCATTGGCAGTTCTACATAATATACAGCTCCTGTAAAACTTCCTCATAATTCTTTTGAGCATCATACATTGTTGTTCTTGTCAATAATTGTGTAACTTTTGCAGTTGACCGACTGTGAATTGAATGTCTTGCATGTGTTTTAACCTGTATGATTTCACCATAGCCCTAAAAAGATGCTTGAATAAATACATTTCAAATAAATGTCACTGTTCTGTATGTTCGATCAAATATGGTTGGTTGCGAAGCGTTATTGAAAGAACTGGTTATGATTTTCTAAGATAACTGAGTATCCCCTTGATTTCTTTTTCATTTCATAATTTATTAGGGCTTTAAATTACAATTATTGTATACAAAACACAACTACTAGATAATTGGTTAAATTGTTGTGCCTAACAAGCTTATCTGAAGTATAAAACTATAATTGCTCTTTGTAAAAAGTCAGTATAAGAATAAAAAGTGCATTATGCAGTTGGAAGTTAGGTTCCAGATGTGTGAATGCAGTGATGTTATGCAACTGCAGCATTGGGATTTTTTTATAGTAATAACTAAACAATAGTCATTGTCAGTGGATATAATTGATACTGTATTGCACATTTTTACAATTACATTACCTCAATATATACGATACATGCTATGTAATCAGTTGTGTTCCCTTCATATTCAATTGAAATAATGAATGTATTGTGCCATTTAGCTAATATAAATGATATAGTCTGATTTTGTCTCTAAATTGCTATAGCACCTATGCTTTTCTCCCTCTTGGACATTTTTTTTGTCATTTCTGCTCAATTTATGGAATCTACATTATCTAAACATAAAAATTGTGCAATTCAATTTAGTAAATCTTGTATTGTTTTTTTCAGTGTACCATTGGATTGAGATGCGAACAAAAATGCGCATCATGGGATTTCGAGGGGCAACTATTAAACCATTGAATGAGGACGCGGCCGCTGAACTTGGTGCGGAGTTACTGGGAGAAACGGTGGTCTTTCTTATTGGAGGTGGTTGTATGGTACTTGAATACAGCAGACAAGCTGCTAACTCACGGCGCAAAGAGGACGAGCTGAATGCTACAATCACAAGCTTACAGACTCAAATTGCAGAACTGGCGTTGACCACAGAGACACTAGATGCTCAATTACGAGAGTTCAACAGACAAATTTTGTCTTTTCCCCTCCCTTCAAAAAAGTGACAACAGTGTGTGTAGAATATTAGCAGCCCGATTAGTGTGACCTCATGCACATTCCTCTGCATAATGGGGTGCTGTGCGCTTGGGTGGTATATTTGGCTCAGATTTTGAGCAAAGTCTTGCTATGATATTCATAGTATAAATATTGTTTAAGCATGTTGGTAATACAAACAAATGCAAATGGGGTCTATGAAGCCATGATTTCTGACAATATGACAAAGAATTGTTATTTTGGTTAATAACATTTCTGGTTTATGATGACATTGATGTTTTTCTTGCGCCATCTTAATCTAAAATATTGGTTGACATTATGACCTGTAATAAAGATATGGTGTACTTGAGTGTGTGGTTTTTCTGTATTAGTCAGTTGAATATGAAACATAACCATTGGAATAATAAGGCGTAGAATCTTCCGTTGAGGGGTTTGGTCGCTAGGCGGCGCTAGCTGTGTTTTTCTAAACCTTTCCCACTGTTCACCCGCGCAGCTCGCATGAGCAGGTAGGCCACATAAGTGTTTAATTTACCAAAACGCTCTTTGCATGGACTTTATGGGTGTTTGCTTCAATATTGCATAGCTGTAAATGTAACATGTGTATAGTCATTTGAAGGTTATAGAAAATCTACCACATACAAGTATTTTCTGGCGTGCGGGTTTTTTTTTCCCGGAATAGCACGCGATAACTAGTAGCAGCAATGCTAATGTTGTTAGCATCAATCTCTACCGCTTTCGGCATAGGATACAGCAGTATATAATGCTGCTAGTGTCTTAGTCTGGAGTTATTGCATTTTATCATAGTAAATGTAATTTTCAAACCGAAACACATTAAATTGACCGCATCTGGCACTCGGAAACGTGATGGATGAAATGGAACGTAGCATAGCCGTAGCTAGTTTCTAGCTTATCGAGCGAACTGTTTATCGGCGCATTATCTGTGTACAAAATACACCTCAACATGCATTCCTTCTACAGCAATTAGTTATAGTTTCGGACCGCTACAACCATGGATATTGACGTGAAGAAACTGAAGGTGAATGAGTTGAAGGAGGAGCTCCAGCGTCGCGGCCTGGACGCTAAGGGCCTAAAGGCCGACCTGGTAGAGCGGCTGAAAGCTGCGCTGGAAGAGGAGGCCCAGACAGACCCTTCGGAGGAACAGCACCAAGAAGAAGAAGAGGAGCCCGGCATGGAGGATTTCACTAAAGACGAGCCAGTTGATGAGGGAGAAGAGGCCCCACAACAAGGTAGACTTATGCACTTTTTTCAAGAGTTTATTGATGACAAAGAACTGAAATTATATAAAACTGTTCAAATAAAAAGACGCTTTTTGCAAGAACATTTTTGCTGATGCCCCAATCAGAATTTTGGTTCTGGATATTATTAGAAAGCACAAAAGGTCTCTTGCCTGAAAACACAAGATTCACATTTTTAGGATCTTGATTTCAATGGTGTCATACACTACCTGTCCCAAATGAGTAAAAACGGCAAACTGTGCTGAGCGGTAGCAACAAAATAAGTCCACAACCTGCATGTGTGAACATCAATAACACAGATTTAGTCATTTTAAGGGTCAAATGTACACTAAATATGACCCTGTTAAATTCGTTTCTGGGCATGTTTTTAGCTACTTGCACAGAGCAAATGGAAGGATTTGAAGATGCCCCACCCCCACAAGGTGATTCTGATGAGGGCAGAGATTCAGGTGGCGACTATGAGGAGGAGGAGGTGGCGGCGGATACCAATGGTGAGCCATATGAAAGTAAACCACCCGAATCAACCCTCAAAGGGCCTGATTTTACAACTGATGAATTCGTCCCAGAAGAATCCAAGCTTGTGCAGAACGTGGAAGCGGAAGCTCCTGAAATTAAACAAGGTTGGTGAATTATCCAGTCATCTTTGAAAGCGTAGTGATTTTAATTTCACAGTAAGTTTTATTATTTCTGTAATTTTAATTCTGTAATATATCTTTAATTTCTTGTCATTCAACTAATTTTGATATTTATCCATCCGTTGTGTTCTACAGACGTCAAAGTTGAAGTGAAATCAGAAAATATAGATGCTGTGCAGGAAAGTCACCAGCAACAGGAGCAGCAGAAGAGCAGTGATGAAACGATTGGTGCTCCAATTGAAGTCAAAACAGAAAGTGATAAGGGTGGACCGCAAGGTCGCAAAAGACCACACGAAGAAAACCGTGGATATAACTACTATGAACATCGTGATGAAAAGAGGTACTTAACTCTTGGCAAACATGCAGGGTGTAGTTTGCATTGGCAATCTTTTGCATTGTTTTATCTTAACATGAATGATATTTATTTGTAGATCCCGCACACCCCAGCCTCCTGCTGAAGATGAAGAAGAGAAGATTGATGACACCCTTGTTACAATTGATACTTGTAAGTTAAATGTGTATTGTGCAGTTCTGAGTGGGAGCCTCTTGAGACATTTTTCTCCAATGGCGATGTTACTGTTGTTTGTGACATGTCTGGACTGTTCTGTGCTTGACAAGTATATGACCCTTGTTAATTTTAGTGGCACATTTAAGAATATTGTAACTTACATGGTTTATTTGTGTCTTTTTGATTTAGACAATTGTGACCTCCATTTCAAAGTCTCACGCACTCGCTACAGTGGATATCCTCTCACCATTGAAGGCTTTGCTTACCTCTGGGCAGGAGCTCGAGCTTCACATGGAGTTATTAAGGGACGCGTCTGCTATGAGATGAAGGTACAAAAATATACTTTTTTTAATATTGAAATGGCTAAAATACTACTTTAAGCATACCTTATTATATCTTACACATACTTGCATATGCCTTCATGTTGCAAAATCTTCTTAGTTTTTCAATACTTGTTTTTTGTCTTAGATCAATGAAGAGATTTCTGTAAAACACCTCCCCAGTAGTGAAGCAGATCCACATGTTGTTCGAGTTGGATGGTCCCTAAACAACTGCAGCACACAGCTTGGTGAGTTTCCTCAGCTTGAATTACATTTTAAAACATTCTATAGCTGCAAATTGCAACTGTATTTGTGTCTTGCTATAGGTGAGGAGCCTTTTTCTTTTGGATATGGAGGAACAGGAAAGAAATCTAGTGACTGCAAGTTTGCAGACTATGGTGAGAGATTCGGAGAAAATGATGTAATCGGCTGTTGCATTGTAAGTATTTATTAAATTCACACCATTTATTTTCTATGATTACCATACACATTAGAAAGGATTTGTTAGATTGTTTTTATTTTTTAATTTTAGGACTTTGAAAGTGGCGATGAAGTGCAAATGTCCTTTTCCAAGAATGGTGTGCCGCTTGGCGTTGCTTTTAAAACGACCAAGGAAGCTCTTGCAGGTCGAGCTTTGTTCCCTCACGTTCTGGTGAAAAATTGTGCAGTGGAGTTTAACTTTGGTCAGAAAGAGCCATACTTCCCTCCTCCAGAGGGATACACTTACATTGATGGTATTAACCTGGAAGATAAAATCAGAGGTACCAAGGGACCTGAAAGCAAAGGCGAATGTGAGGTGTGGAACAACGTTTTTTTTGTTGTTTTATAAAATGTTACTTTTATGAAGCATGAAAATAACATGTGGGCTCGTGTGGATCTCAGATCCTGTTGATGGTTGGCCTGCCCGCCTGTGGGAAGACCACTTGGGCCATGAAACATGCTGAGACGTATCCTGAGAAGAAATACAACGTGCTGGGCACTAATGCAATCATGGACAAAATGAAGGTATTGTTAAAAGTTGAAATGAGCTTTTATCTCATTTGTTATTGGCTAATGTTCTTTTCACATGTTTCACAGGTGATGGGTCTGCGTCGCCAGAAGAACTATCACGGTCGCTGGGATACGCTCATTCAGCAGGCCACTCAGTGTCTGAACCGCTTAATCGAGATCGCCGCCCGCAAGAGACGCAACTATATTCTGGACCAGGTACTGCAGTCTTAACACTGTGTGTCTGTTCTGTACTTAGTCCGCCAGTGTGCAGTCATGCTCTCTCTTTCTAATGGACTTTATTTATGTTTCAGGAATCTGTGTATTGTAGCTAGAAGAAGCATTGATCAACATTTTATCACTTGTTTATCATATACTTAAACATTAATGGCTCTCATAAGTTAAATAATATTTCATGTCTTCATTGTTGTACTTTGCTATTTCTTGTTATAAAACAGTATTGTTTGTCTTGTGAATATGAAACCTGTTAAGTAAACCATGACATGCTAAGATGTTGAGAAACAAGTAAGCTCTGGCTGGTGAGTAAGAATAACTTATGTTGCTAATTTAATAAGGCTGGGATATTTCATGTTTTTAAAGATATAAATTAACTTAAGATTCATGGAACTTTTAAGTTTGTTTTTATTGTGTTGCCTTTTCAGGTAAGTAATGACTAACCGCTTGAAGTTTCCAGACCCGTGAACAGCTGAGCTGCTAAAGGTAGGTGGGTCAGGAACGGCTTTGTCCATGGCTCTGTAAGTATGAGAAGGTAGGTTTCATATGTTGTCCTATGTCTTTATGGGGACTTGAAAACCAGGTGTTGGGTAAGTAAAGGTAAGTGAGGGAACCCGAAAGACGGCTAGAAAAATAACATATTTGTCGTATTCAACATCAGTTAAACATAAATTGTCCATACATTTGCCCCTTTCCAGCATAGTTTCAGGCAAAAGCATGCTATGTATTATGACACACATTTTTCATTGAATTTCTATTTTAGCATGTACAGTTTAAATTAAACTTACCAAGCCATTCAAATGCAAGAATGGAATGTGACTGCTTTTTGCCAAATAAATGAACTTGTCAATGACATTTGCACCATGCGTTTGTAACTTAAATGATTGTCATTACTTGCATTGCGCATTTATGGGGTTCCCTCAAACCACCACACTTTTGAGTATATGCTTTGCTGTTGATGCTGTAAAATCCAGGTAAGTTTGTGGAGTGATGAGAGGCCATCAGTACTGAGAAAAAAACCATAGCCTGACATCAGTCAAACCTCTCTCACTTGATTATTGCAGGATTCCAGTTTCCTTCCGGTGGGAAGCTCTTAACAAGTTAACAATAACAAACAAGCTTCTACTTCTTTCTTGTCACCATTGCTAGACAAATGTATATGGATCAGCAAGGAGACGAAAAATGCGTCCTTTTGAAGGTTTTCAACGCAAGGCTATTGTAATTTGTCCCACGGACGAGGATTTTAAAGAACGAACGCTAAAGCAAACCAATGAGCAGGGGAAGGATGTGCCCGATCATGCTGTTTTAGAAATGAAAGGTAGGAATGCTGTGGAAGCTACAAATAAACACCAGATCTACTTTTTACTTTATCTGTGTCTCTAAATCAAACTTGGAAGATGCCCCCCCCCCCCCCCCCCCCCCCCCCCTCCTCCTTACCTCATCATAAACTTTGACCAGTTGTCAGAACTTGGACGTCACACAAATTGTATGTCCCTCATACTAAACTATCTGTAATGTGTAAAGAAACCAAAAAAATCATATGAACTGCAAACTGGGTCTGTGACTGTAAAAGGGTCTGTTGCACTCTGGCATATTTGCTAAGTTGTGATTTGGCTTATTGGACAAAGTTCTTGGTTTGCAGAGCCATTTTCCGTTCACCCTATTCCCTAGTTGTCTTGTCCCATCTCCACATATTGAATTCTTTTTAGTTTTTCTTACTTTTTTAACAAATGTTACCTCCATTCTATTGTGGAGGTAATGTTTGTCTTTAAAATACCCCCCTTTGCGATCATCTTGTGTTGTTTCTTTTGCCACTCTAAGGTTGTAATTAATGTTTTATTTGTCTTCTGGTGGTGTGGCTGCTTGCCCCTCTACTACCTCCCCTCTTCTCTCTGAATCAATCTTTTCCTGTGATGGCCTGTGACCCAAAGCCAACTTCACTCTGCCTGAAGTGTGCGACTTCTTGGAGGACGTGATATTTGTCGAACTCCAGCCTATAGAGGCTGAAAAGCTTCTGAAGCAGTACAACGAGGAGGGCCGCAAGGCTGGACCACCCCCAGAGAAGCGCTTTGACAACAGGCAGGGCGGATTCAGAGGTCGTGGTGGCGGCGGCAACTTCCAGCGCTATGACAACCGCGACGGTCCCCGCGGTGGCGGCGGCGGGGGCAGTGGCGGCGGCGGCAGTGGCGGCTTCTCAAACCGCAGTGGGGAAAGTGGAGGATACCATGGAGGTAACGAAGCCCAGGTTTTATTATTTTTGATCAGGGTTTAGACCTCATATGTTATCCTGTCCATTAATATTCAGGTTATAATCGTGGAGGCTATAATCAGAATCGCTGGGGCAGCAACCACAGGGATTCTTCTGATTCACGGAGTGGATACAACCGCAGTCAGCCACAGAGTGGAAGCTACAACTATCGCTCAGCTCCTTACAAGAGTGGATACAACCAGGTAATCACAAGCTCCTTCATCCTCTGTTTGATATTAATGTACAACATGTTTATCACCTTATGTTTTCAGCTTGATCTACACTCCAATTTCATGAAACCTCTGGCACTTTTAAATGCATTCCTCTGACAGCTTTTATGTTCTCCCATTTAGAGTTATGGCCAGAGCAACTACAACCAGAGCAACTACAACCAGGGCAGCTACAACCAGGGCTACTATGGTAATTACAGCCAGTACCCGGGCTACAGTCAGACCTACAGCCAGCCAGCCGCCACCGCGCAAACTTACAGCCAGCAACAACCACCAACACCAGCACCGCCCGCGCAGGCCCCAGCGCAGCAACCGCAGCAGCAGCAGAGCTACAACCAGCAGTATCAGCAGGTAAGTGTCCCGGCCTTCTGCATGTCAAGCCAATCTCATGTTATATTTGACTTGTTTTTTCTTTCTCTCCAGTATGCTCAGCAGTGGCAGCAGTACTACCAAAACCAAAATCAGTGGAACCAGTATTACAGTCAATACGGCAGCTATGGACCTGGCCAAGGCTCTTCCTCTGGTTCTCAATAAGTGTACCTGCATCCCGCCCCGCCCTGTTCGTCTGACACCTGTCGCACATTAAATTTGTATAAAGTCACCTAGAATGATCCTAACACATAGATTCCATCCTCACTACTTACTGTATACAAATTGATGTTTTTCCCTTTTTTATTTCTGAAAAAGTCTTAGTGGCTGTGTGGTGATAGAAAATGGATTTCCAAAACATTTAATGTGTATAGAAGATGACTGTCTACAGATGGAGAATTGGTCACATTTCAGTAAAATATTTAGTCGACTGTTCTGTGTGAGAACATGGCCATACACAAAATGTCTAAAATGCCCTTTTCTGTGTATGAGGGCGAAATGCATGTTTTTACCCTTAAACCCCTTTTTTATTTTGTTATGGAGAGCAGAACGTAAAGGGTTATTTTTCATTTCCAAACACATGTCATGCTCATACTATAGTATTTAAATGTTAATCCGCTTTTTGATTTAGACCACTTGCATAAGTAGTGGAAGTGCATTTGATTTTTAATAATTTTTTTTGCTCTCTGTAGTTGAATCCTTTTGTGACAACTTTTTTTTTTTTTTTTACAGTAAAATGAACATGATTATGACAAAGTAACTAAGCTGTCTTGTCTTTATACAATAAATGCAATTTAATTGCTGGTGGATTTTTACATTTTTTTTTCTTAATTTGTTCACTCCAACAAATAAAATGTAAAACAATAAAACATTACAATTTGCCCCAACTAAGGCTCATTAAAAAACATTTCTCTCACCTGTGAATGAACAGTATGGAGGTTTTTCCCCTCCCACTGCTTTAAAAAGTTATCACACATACAACTTGTGTGTGATCAGGATCAAAGCGCCACTTATGCTGTTCAAGGAGGGACTAATCTGGAAACCCAGATTTCTGACCATTTTTTCCCTCTTGATTTTTTTAAATAATGAGGATCAAAACCTTTATCAGGAAACAGCATATTTGATTTGAACAAACAGGAAAATAGTATTACAGAAATGTACATGTTATGCTTCCTTAGTGTAGGTCACTTTATAAATGTGCACTACAAATTCGATTTTGAACCGAGCAGCAAATCCATTTGCTGAAAATGGTAGCACCAATGAATCTGGGAGAACTGAGTGAGAAGATCATAAATTAAAATAAAAAATATATTTCAAACTGACATTTTATCCACAGCTAAAATGAGCACAACATCTTTTCCAACACAAAGTTAGACAGTCCCATGCATGTCCTTCCTTCAGTCTTTGTTTAATCTGGCTCCCGGCTTTTGTCTTTATTAAGATGTAATTCTCCCATCTTCTCTTGCAAGAAGCAGACTGGCTCAGACCCACCACGATTTCTTTGCGTCAAAGTGTGGACCTGAGCAACAGAAATAAGTCATTAAAAACCATATACTTCTATTGCTGGCATTAGACGGCTGTGAAAGTCTCCATCTCACCTTTCTGTCTGGGGAACCATGTATAGAGCGATGCGGAATGTGCGTCCGCTTGTCCTTTTTGTCTGGTGTCCACACTCCTGGGTCGGTCTGAGTAGAGCGGTCCAGTAACCTGAACTCTTTACTGTTTTTGCAGACGTCATTGCATTGGGGGAAGACAAACGTGTCCTCCTCCGAAACTGCACATAGACATGACTCGTTGAATTGTTATTAAACATAATGGTGCATGCAGATCAAAGAAATACGCACCACAACTGTTGCCCTTGGTTTTGGAGTCTGAACCTGGGGTGCATGGACATGAACCAGATGTATTTTTGTCTTTCTTCAAGCACTTGCCTACCACAGTGTCTCTACAGTGTTTATGACAATTAATCCCACATTCTAAATACAAACAAAGTGCTATTTAATTGAAGCAAATCATTTGAGGAGGCAAAATGTACACAGTATTTGTAACTCAGCCTCACCTTTACAATGAAATCCCTGTTTAATGACACCCCACAGCTAAAAGACACACAAACTTATCAATGAACATGAATCTATAATACTCATATATGGCAATCCGGGTGGGAAAATTAAGAAAGACTTACAAAACCTCCACATTGGTCACAAAATGTTGGCCGTTTGTACGTAGTTTCGTGAAAATTGTGCGTCTCGTTGAAATTATACCCGAGCTTTGCACATACAGACATTCCCCTCATGAAGTAAGAAGTTATTTCATCACGGCTGATTTCTCCCAATCTGTAAATAATAACATGAACGTGAATGACAGGGAAAGGAAAGTAAAAAAAAAACATAGAATTTTTCTTTAGTATTAATTCTTAATTGTATAACCTGTCAGTTTCATGTGTACGAAAGTAGAAGGGGAAATTTGCAGCTATTTTCTCAAAGTCCTCCAGTGATATGTAGCCGTCTTGGTTCTGGTCGTAGTTCTTCATTACAGACTGTAGGGGGCAACAAAATCCCATTCAAAAGTCTAGTCATGAAGTTTGCTTGTTGTGTATTGACTTGCTTTAGTTATCAGGAAGTGAGAAGAAGATTCTACTTACGTCCACCATTTGTTTGACGTGTTTAGATATAGTGTCGGGGTCGAGCCTGGGAGTCACCCCTGATCCCCACTCCCCAACAACTGGAGGCTTGACGGGAACAACAGGCTACAGGGAAAGCACAGTAAAATTAAGATAAATAGATGTGTACCTCAGTGGGGATATTTCAGTGTTGCATCACAAGTTACACAACAGTAGGAATGAGGAGCACACAACATAAGTGAATATTAAAAGGTATATAGGAGGATTTTCCCAAAATATACATAATACACACATAATATACATAATAATTGACAATTAGGATGACCAATAGTCTTCTTGATGATCCACCAGGAAGTAGAAAATCCTCCTATATACCTTTACGTATAGCAGAACTCTATACTTTTCTTTCTATACTTTAGCTTAATCAAGGAACCAAGTAAAACAGTATACACATATGAGGTATAAAACTGTATACTCTGGTGCAAGAATATTAGGGTAGAAAGTCATTAGCTCTGAGGGTTCAAATATGAAATTAATATGAAACTACAGTACCCGCTTGCAGCATGTGATACTACTGTACATGTGAGCATCATGAGGCTCTGGGCTGAAAGTAACTAAGTGAAGTGACAGCAGACACATGTGGTCCCATATTGCAATAAATTGCAAATGAAAAATATGCTGACGAGCTTTAACAATGTGGTTTGTGTTTTTTGTCCCATCAGAAATCTGCAGCCTGCTACAATTTGCTCTTGGGAGTTGTTGACGTCAATAGGTATGTGGGGGCTGCCATGACTAAAATCAAAAACAACTTCACATGTAGAGAAGACCTTTTCGAGCACACCCACCACAACTCTAACGTATGGTGCTTTAATGTGGTAAACACTGATGTAATTCAGTACTAGGGCCTGGCCTCGGTTTCGCAGTTACACCCACGATTTGCACAAAAAAATCCCCTTGTTTTGTAACTGTAAAAATCAATAATCAGCAAGAAACTTATATCTACTGACCTGGATTTTGGGGTTCTTGGGTTCCTTGGTGTAAGAAAGTTCATATATTTCATCTTCTGTATAGTACAAGTCCAGTGATAGCTGTAAATATATAATGAAAATGTGTGAGAAGGAAATTGTTGCAAAGTTGTGCTAACGAGATGACTTTCTTAATAGACATCAGCCGCCTGAAGTCAAATATTGTTTTTCCACAAAAATGAAAATAATACAGAATATGTGGTTTCAGAAAAGTGCTGAATAAACTGACTGATTGAGTGATAAAAACATGAAAATCCTAACTTTTGGTTGTATGGTAAATATCGATATATTTTCAGGTATACTAATATATATTTATATATAATTCAAAACATTAAAGCAGGGGTACCTGTATTTTCTTTGTCCTAACAGAAAGAGTCTTGTCAACTTTAACATGTGAACAAATTATCGTGCTGTCTTTATCATCTGTTATCTATCTGCTGTTATCTTTTGCCTTCTTGTCACTATTTGAGTCTTGGGGGCTGTGAGAGCTGATTGGCTGAGTGATGGGGTCCTCTGTTTCCCCCTTTTCTGTCTAAATAAAGCCAATAATATGTGCATGTGAAAACTAGTGATAGAACCAAACTGTTTTTAGAGCCAGGAACTAGTTACTAGTTGTACTAATGGATGTATGTGGACTCCTCACTGTGAGCAGATGCAGCAGGTCCTTGTTGGCCTCAAAGGGCGGTGTGCAGCTGTGGATCAGCAGCAGGTCGTTGATGTTGCTGTACAAGTGCTGGAGCTTGCTGAGGTTGATCTTGTCGTTTTCGATGTAATCCGGCAAAGCCTCGTTCAGAGAAATCAGATCTTTGAGGTGAACACCCAGGATGGGCACTTTAAACCCACTGCACTCGTTATAAACTCTGCGGTAGTTGATGTAGTTGCTGCGAGAAGAAAGTAACTCTGTCATCTCATTAAGAGCCTGAAAAGAGACAATATTTATCAGTCACTCGATGTTTCTGAATCACAACAAGCACAGGTCGGCGGAGGTGGCAAGAAACGAGCCACTACTCATTTTATGTAGGCTTGTCACAACAATCACTATTTGGGCTTATCGTTCAGCAATTGAGATAGACAGATAGATACATTATTGATCCCCCGTTGGAGAAATTCAGGTGTATGATGACATTGATGATAGAGATTGAATGTCTGTTTATTTTCTTCTAAATTTTTGACATTTTCTTTGCTATATATTATATTATTATTATATTATGCTGCTATTTTGTATATGTTTGCATTTAGGCAGTTACAATAGTATGGATTATCCTGATATTTTTCG